GGGAAGCAAAAACTGGTTTTGCTATCAAATGTGAAACCAGAAAAAGAAGATAAATATGATTAACAACAAGCCTTCTTTCAAAGTTCATACAGGTTTCCATGCGTGTCTCTCTTCATCAAGCGCTTCTTCCTCTCCCAACACTATTTTGCTTTCACATGGTGATTCATTCTGTCCAAGGTCTGTCTTTTAAGGCTATTCTGAAAACAAGGTCTGTTTCACATCTGAGAAGTGTACATTAACAGCTAGACAGGTAATTGCCACCCAATATCCCTTCCCTGAACCACTGAAGAGCTGATCTACAGAACACAAAACCTCTTCAGAAACTAGTGACACATGAAAACTGGACTCTGTGGGAAAATGAAACTGGCATAAAATCATATTTGAGGATACTTTACCATAGTAGATTATATTCCACTGTATGTGAATCTAAATAAGACAGGTGGATGCCACAGTAAAAAATTGCTACAGAAGACAGAAAGGGTTGGAGAATAGGAGGGGAGAAATAAGAGAGAGAGACCTGGAGTTTAATAAAAGGAACTCAGGGGACTTGGGAAAAAACCAAACAACCCCATATCCTGCACTTTTGTCAGGACACATTCCTCAGCACTCCAACCAAAGAGGTCAGAGGAGACTTAGCTGTAGAAACTGCTGAAGAAGCTTAAGGTGATCTTCAGTATCCTCTGCACCTACTGCATTGCTGATATTCACACAGGAGGCTAAAGAACAACTAGATAATGTAGAAAAGTAAATTTAAAAGTTTTTTAAAAAGCAGGAGTTGTTCAAACAGTGAAATATGATAGACAGTCTCTGTTTTAAAAGATGAGTTATTTACCTGCTGAGACTAGGGCCAGCATGATAGATAAAAGGAGCTGCAAACTAAGGGCAAGGGTTTAATTTTTATAACCTGCTTTATATCCAAAAGAAGAATAAAAAAACAAACAAAAAAACCAGAAAAAAACAAAACAACCCCACAAAATCCTGAAATAAACAGAGACAAAGCAATCAAAAAATAATGACAAAACCCCCACTACGATGATGAGGGGAGTCAGGCTGGTGACAAGAGTGAAGGAAAAGGACTATTGTTGGAATAAAATCAAATAAGATTGATGTGAAACAGTTCAACTGATTGTCAACTAAGGAAGAAGAAAATTCAGATTACTTTTATTTACTGTCAGAATTCTGTTGTCTTCAGATATGAGAAAACATTTTAAGCAGTACTTATATGACAGAAATTAGTATCTTAAATGCTGAAGTTGCTTCTTAAAATAAGATATGATCCTAAAATCAATCCGATACTATTTTACCAAGCATATTTCTTAAGTACAATCAAATGGCTTTATAGCTCCTTGGACATCCGAGATATAAAGGAATGTTTATTCGCAATGGTCTTTACACTTGTCTAACACAAGCTTTTTAAGCATGTGCAAATCAGAACTTACTTGCCTGTACACATTATGAACACATCTGTAACATAATGACCATTACCCTTTTAAAGAACCTTAACATGGACTGCAAACAACAGGAGAGCTCACACCTCAACCACCATGTAACACAACTGTTCCAAATTACTTTCATGTTATAAATAAAAAACTGAATGAATGTTTTCCAAAGTGCTTGAAACACAAGGCTCAAATCCCCAATAGAGATATCCATTTAAGATTTACATGAATACAACTTCTGTTTCATCTTCATGCTATAATCACAATTTTTCATCTCCTCTGGACATTCACAAAATCTCCATCCAATCACTGTAATATAGTATGATAAAAGTCATACTCAGTAGAAAATTAGGCTTTCGAAAAAGAACTTGTCATCACTTTCCCAAGTACTAAAAGCATTTCAAAACCCAGATTAAAACTCCATGCAATGGTTACATCTTCCAAATATCTTGAATTCTTTTAATGAATTTAGCTTTACACAGGCATTTATAACTTGCCTTCAAATTGTAATAAACAGAATCTCTAACATACCACAACTTAGGAATCTTTGAAGTATATACTGTGAGAAATGATAGAAAGATAACAGATAAAGTATTCCAAGTATATATTTGCATATAAAATAGATCAGGATAACATTATACTAAATTATATAGTATTATTAAAGCAAAAGATGCATTATTTTTTTCAGCTACCAGCCCAGCTAGCTTGACATGGGAAACAAATATCAATCTGCATTTCATCCTTCCTTGTTCTCATTCCTAGAACCTCGAATAAAGTTTCCTTGACAAAGCTCAGTAGAAGTTATAAAACTTGTTGCTTTCAGTGGCTTTTCAAGGTATTTATAACTGACTGTGCTTTTGTAAATAATTAGACCTTCAGGTGCAATTAGAATTTTTAGTATTTATTTCAAAGAAACAACCTCTTTACTAAAATTTCTAAATAATAAAACTGTAAATTAAGTTCTCACTAATTTAATCTAATCTGCTTTGGAAGAAATGCAGGAGCAGACCCACTGTATGACCACTAGGCCATCTTAATTTGTCCATGTCAGTGCAGAGTCACTGAAGAGTCTCAGGACATACATTTCGTTTTGTCACAAGTATTCTGCATAACACTAAAAGTCAACAAAACAACTGCAATAAAACATTATTTTTAACCTGACTCTTGTGGCACTTCATGCAAGTATAGCATTATTTTAATGACTTTTGTTTGAAAAAGAGATAATGCAAGTTTTTGACTGTTGCCAAGGTGTTCTAACAGGTCTTTACAGTGGAAGACCAATCAGAAAGATTTGGAACAACCTAAAAGTTAATACATTTAAATGATGAGCATATCCAAGTGCAAGATTCCCAGTGTGAGGTGATAAATTACCTATAAAACATGAGAGAGCAATAGTAATAGCCTCACGAGGTCTGCAACCTGTTTGCATTGTTTATGTCAGATTTTTTGTGGCACTGAACAGAAGTACATGTAGACTGTACTGTTTGTGCAACCTGGACACTTAGTATATGTGAGACATTTTTCTTAAAGAAATGCCTGCTCCAAAATAATACTGCATTTCAGAGTATGCTCTCAGTTGAATTTTTCTTAAAAGGAAAAGTAGCTTCTATGTAGGAATAGGTATCAAACCTTTAACAGCTCAAAGGAATAATTTCAAATATTCTGATCTTCTGAGATGCTAGTAATGACCACCTTGAAGGTCTCAGTGTTTTGCAGTGCCCCTTAGAGGCTTAAAGTCAGTCTGTACCAGCTGTGAGTTTTATGTGGATACCCAGTTACCAGAACATCTAATTGTCCTCAGCTGAAGAACCTTGTGTAACAAATCAACATCAAAAAGAGCAATTTAGTGTCTTTATTGCTCAAGGGCTGCAAACTACTTCTACTTGTTGAAATAAACAGTGCTCACAGCAGTTTAGTCTGTCTTTAGGACTGTATATTCAGTTGTTTTCGCAATAAGATTTTATGACCTTAAAAAACTAACTGCATGTTCAGCTTTGGCACAATTCTGGCCCTTGATGACTTCAATAGTTTACATATAACCTGGTCTGGTGAGTGTGCATGTTTCATGAAAACTATTGTTGTGATATTGGTCCTAAACAATAAAACCCCGGATTTGACAAAGTTACCCTGAGTTAGAACCAGATTTTCAGACTACATTTTCTAGAACTGCTTACAGAATTACCAAAGTGGACTAGCAGATTTTCCTTTGTGCATCCACTTCCCAGGAAAACACAATTTTTTTTGTCCTTTTCCTTTTCTCAGGTAAAGATAAGGAGTATGTGTTGCTTGGTGACGGAAAAAAAAAATCAATTTGAGAAAAGGATGAAGAAAATAAGGGAAAAAGAATATTTCAAAAGCCAGTAAGGTGCAAAACAATGATGGACATTGTGTCAGGTTAATAAGTATACTTCTAATAAGGGACATGGCAACATCACTAGAATGTCCACTTAAAAAATCATAGCAACCTAACAGCAAAAAAGAGGAGAACAAGCTGAGAAATAGATTAATCAGTCAGAACTTTGGAGGCAACTGACACAATCTGACTCCTTCCACTTTCCATTTAGCTTTGAACAGACTGAAGTCTAAAGCTGTAGATCTACTTATATAGTTCTGTATTTAGATAAATACATATCTAAATTATGAAACACATGGTCTCCACTTTTATAATTTTACACACACAGTATGGAAAAGGAAAAAATTATTTTCCCACAGAAAAGCGAAAAAGTGAAAGATGTTTAAATTGTTTGAAAATCAAAGGAATCACTCTAAACACAGTTTACAAAGAGATATAAATCTTCTACATTAAAAGAAAAATTACATGCACCCACTTTAAGAATTTGAATCTGCCCCAAACACCTGCAGTGTGCCTGCCTAGACAGACCTGTGCCACAAAACCCACTTCCAAAAAATTTAAAGTTTCTAAAAGATTTGGGTTTTCTCTTTGAATAGGAAATATATCAAAAGAAAAGAAATACAAAACTAATCTTTTAGACAAAGAACAGGAAGAAAACTGTCACGTTCTGTGGTTTACATTTATAACAGGACCCTATCTAGAGATTAGAATAGTTTCAAATCTATTGTAGTTGAGGATATGATGTCATCATTTAAAGGACGAAGATAATTTAGTCCACAATATCTATTCATACCAACAAAAGAAAGCAAAACGAGTATGCAGAACTCTTGCATACCCCACTCTCCTGGACACTTCTCTTTTGCAAGGATTCTTACTCATCCATGTAAAAGTATGTGGTTTTTTTTTCCCAATGCCATCTGCTAGTTTAACTTTTGTGAAAGCACAAGTGATTTCAATTCCATTAGACACACACATCACACTGATCGATTTAGTCTCTCTCTCAACAATTTTCAGCGAAGCTTATTTTAAAAATACTGAATATGATACTTAACACACTCTATTCACATGACTTTACGGCATTATTCATTACTGATTACTGAAAAACATGGGAGTTTGCTAAAAAAAAAACGGAAGAGACTATCAGGTTAGCCAAAAATAAAATAACAATCAAGACAAAATATTCCAGGTGAATTAATTAGCCTTCTTACCTTGTTCTTTTATCTGACGAATTTGCTTCACAGTTTCTTTCAAGATTGCACATTTGTCAGGTTTAAAGTTAAAGTTGTCAATATCATTAAAATTTGCAAAAATCAGCTCTGCAAGTTCTTCAATGTATTTATTCTCTTGCTCACGATTGCGTTTCTCAGTGCTTCTTTTAGGGCTGAAAGAGGAGTTTATAAAAATTCTGTCTTTAATGTCAGTTTACTTGTCTTCTGGCCAGCTCAGAGGTGATTTTAAAAGGTTTGACAGTAGTTTAACAAAAACACCTCTCTCACTACCAATATATAACTTAGGAGTTTCTCACACAGAAAGGCTTCCTCTGGAACAAGGAAAGGAGCATTAGAAAAGATGTTACTTATTTTTTTCCAGCAGTCATGTTTTTGTTTCAAAAGAGGATTGGGATTAGAAATTGAAAACACAAGATTATTTGGGGGGGAGAAGGGGGGGGGGGTCAGGATTTGAATATTTACAAGTATCCCTCCCACATGGCATTGAGAAACCAAAGAGTATTATACAGTGATTGTGTATGAGAAAATAAAACAGCTTAAATAGTTACACTGAGCAATCCATACTCCCTGCCTCCTTGTGAATTTATGGCAGTCTTAAGAAAAGATGAATGAGTGGTTATGCTTTAAAATGCATTTGTGTTGGGAGCTGTAAAGCTGGAAAATATTTTTCAAGACCTAGATTATAATGTACAACAGAGGTGGTAAAAAATATCTCAGATTGATAAAATGAGTGACTGAAGACTTCTTGCAGTAAATGCCAAAAACCATTTTTACATCTCTCCTAAATTGTCACCAAAATTCTGCATTTTGGCACAAAGTTGGATTCAAAAATAAACAAACAAACATCAATAAAAGAGAATAGTTCTCATCCCCACCCCAAACCCTCAACAACACAGAATTACTGCAATAAAGTAGTTTGGCACTGACTTCTCTTTGCAAGAATGTTGTTTGTCATCTTCTAATCGAAAAACAGAAGCACATGTAACATTTTTTCAACCCATTCTCTCAATATTTCCAGAAATAAATGGTCTTACCTGGGTCCAACTTGATCGGGATCCTTGCGCTTTCTCGACTCTGCTCTGGATGGGTCAGAGGTATTTTCTCCCATCCCACTCATCTTGAACACATATCAGCAACTAAAAGGAATAAAGTGCAAGAAAGTATTTGGAAAAGGAGTAAAGTGCAAGACGGAAAAGTATTGAGTTCTCAGTTCATATTTACAAGTTTCTCATTCCATGCTCAACTAAGATTTTACTTGGCCAACCTATCATTCAAAATAGAGCTTGTTTGAAAGGCACCAATAAAAATACTGTGTTCATGACCCAACAAAATGCTACACCAGAACTCCTTGAGAAGAAAATTTGTGGTGAGCAAGTAAAGCATCACAATCTGATTGTTACCAGTTACATAAGAACTGATAAGTATATTTTGTTCCTGAGTTGCTGAATTTTCGTGGCAAATTTGCAAGGTTGAATGCTGAAAGACAAAAGAAAAGCCATAGTGCCATACAACAAGAAAAACACAACAGAACTGAAATACATGTAACAAAACATGTGTCCCAGCTACATGAAAAGGTAGCACATGCAGCTTTAGTTAAAAATCAGAAGATAATGCCCACAAAAGTACAAAGCTGTAGAAACAGAACATCTGCCAACACTAGAAATTGCTGAGGAACTGATAAATATTTTGTACATATAATCTACCTCATAAGGAGAATAACTTGTCAAGCTAATGTAGTAAAATAACAAAAGCTTGTAATTTGTGCAACAAACAGCCTGTGGAAATCCTGCCCTGCTCCCAACTGTTGGCTTCCCTATGCTGTGTAGAAGCACATGAAACTCAGATTACACATTTCTCAACAATAACCAATATTCTGGAGGCAGAAATCACCAAAGGACATAGGGAGATGATGTAAATGATCAAAAATTCATAGAAGATGGAGCAGTCCCAGCTCAGCATCTGCCTAGTTGCTGCCAGTTTTGTGAGGATGATGGCAGAGAGGTGTTGCTAGACATTTCAGAGAGCTCCTGTAGTGTTTGGGATTAGCAGAAAAATAAGCATGAGGAGCCTAAAGAAGGTGAGTGTATCCAAAAGGTGATTCATACCATACTAAAATAAAAGCTGGAGCCTGTAATTGTACGACCACTTCATTTTGGCATAAAGTGGAAATCAGGTATCAAAACAACGGAGTTCACCACCTCCTTCAAGCCCTTCACTTCTGTCGCACCAGCTCCTTTCACTCTGCTGGCCTGGTCAGCCGTGCACTGAACCTAATAAGGGAATTGCTAGGGGTTAAAGACACAGTCCTCTTCCCTTTTTCTTTTTGACAATTTTTAAAATCTAGCTGCCAGCCTGTGTGGGGGTAATCAGATGTTCACATTGGAAATCTTGGTTTTCCCAATGAGCCAACTGAGTGCAGATATTTCATGTATCGGCAGAAACAGTCCAAAGACTAAGGTGTGAGCAGCTGATGCTGAGAAAGGCTACTCACTGAAACCTGAGCAAGCAAACAATGAGATGGAGCCATCCTAGATTCAGAACTGACCACCACCTAATATCTCCCTAAATTAAAAGAAAATAAAAATTCCTTTTTACTGAAAGCATTTTTTCACAGAATATTCTGAGTTGGAAGGGACCCACACAGATCACTGAGTCCAACTCTTAAGTGAATGGCCCATACTGGGCCCAAACCCACATCCTTGGTGTTACTAACCCCACGCTCTCACCAACTGAGCTGATCTCAGTATTTTTTTAACCAGTTTGAGCAGAGTGTGGAGTCATTTCCTTTCTTCTAGATACTGTTCAAGTTTCATTAGAAAGACTGTATCATGCCTGTAACATACAGCTTCCATCTGGTCTTTGACATGAATGGTACCAGACTGTATTTGAAAGACACCTGGATTATCTTTTTCTCTACTGCGTCTATACATGCATATGCATATCTACATACACACTGCTATTATTTTGAGAAGATCCCACTGTAAGCAGAGCCAGAAGGTTCTGTGGCAGAGCAGACACAACTCTCCAAGGGAAGATGCACCACCACAAGCTCCACCATTGTGTCCTTGCTGCAGAACCCCCAGTGGCAGCAGCAGGGCCCTGGCAGAGCCACGCCAGCGCCAGCCACCCTGCGGAGCACGAGACATCGACTGCAGGGTCCAGCATGGTCTGACACCCTGACCCTGACCCCAGCTGCTCCCCTACAGCTCTCTGTCCTCACTGACTCCTAGCCCCAGCAGACACACACATCTGAATTTATCCAAGCACAGGAGTAGCAATATACATTCACAGATGAGGAGCTAAGCGCTTCCTTGAAACTATGCAATTTCAGAAGTGTCACAAATAACAGCTCCAAGGAAGGTGCAAGATACTATTAAGGAACCTGACAACATTTAAACAGAAGCTTTGTCAGTGGAGAGCTGAAACTGTCCTTGCAGCTGTTTCTATGACTAAATTTTTCACTGACCAAAGTGAGAAAAAATCATCAGCATGATGAAAGCTGTACATTCCCAAGATCTGATCTCTGATCCAGACTCAGATGGTGAGTTGATCTTCTAAAGTTCAGAAGAACAATTAGGCTGGGGAATCCCATCATTTCTCATGCTTCCCAAGTAATACCTGAGAAATGTAAATCAGCCATTTTTCTTGAGAAAAGCAAGAATAACAATTCACAAATACTGTCAAACCCTCAACTGTCATATTCTCATTCCTCTTCCCTCCCAAGCAGTAAGAAGGTAAGCATTTATGGTGGACACCATCCTCCAAAACCCTCTCCTCCTCAAGAAAGCATATAGAAACTGTTATTGACAGCTCTCCTACCTACTCTGCCAGACTTCAGATAAGGAAGTTTAATTTTTGTGGGAGCCAAAGTTTCACCAGTAGCTCTACCAATGTATAAATCAATTCTTCCTGTATTCACACTAATGCTGTTCTGTAGGAATCCCACTAGGTCCACTATCAGCTTTTGGAGGACATATTAAAACTCATCTCCCACTACAAACTTTAAACTTTACTCTTCTGTATTAAGGGGAACAAAAGCAATATCATAATGACAAAACTAGCACCTTCTTCTCTCCTTTTTAAACAAAGCAAATAATACTAAACAAACAATATATGTATTTATTTTGTTTGCACTTACAGGCTATTACATCTTTTTTTCTCAGCAGCATTATCAGTTTATTATTAGAATGAGTTACCCATGTCTTTCTCACTCATCATAATTTATTTCTGGAAATCTACCACCTACTACCATGTTTGCTTTCTGTTCTCCTTTATGTCATAATTAAAAATCCTGCTCAATACCTCAAAGATTTTTATAGGCCATTTTCTTGTCTTGTAGGTAACTGTGCTCCAGAGCAGAATTTAAAATCCAGGGATGGGTGTTCTGAAAAGTGGAGAGCTAGACAGATGATACTGAAGCAATCTAAAAAATCTCAAAGGCTAAAATCAAAGTCACTCATCCGTACCTAGCACACAGTACTAAAAACAGAAGGATGTGCCTCCAAACCCTTGTCTCCCTAGGTATTTAGGGTCTGACTGGGATAGCTAAGAGCTCAGGGATTCTTCTGGAATTCAGAAACTAAAATCTATTCCCTATTTTGCAGAAATGAGGAAGAATTAACTTTTAGAAGGTGTGGATAGACTCTTCTGTAACACTTTCTTACCAACTAAAACAGCCAGAACCTGGGTGATGGAGATGGAGTTTCCTCTTCAGAGAGAGCTGCCATGTGTTAGAATCCATAAAGTTAGAAAGTTTTTAAGAAATAGTTAAAAAAGTATAAGCCTCAAACTGAAGTTTTGTTAGCATTGCAAATACAGCAAAAAAGTTTCCTAAACAGTAGAACATACGTGACAAATAACAATAAACCTCTATAAAATTAACTTATAAATAACAACAAAGTTATTTAATGTATATCTTTAGAAAGTTAACATAAATAGAGCTCTATTGTCTCTTATGAACCAGTCTTTGTTTTAACTACCATTACATGTGTTTTATAAAATTAGATAAAATGCTTGTCAATATGTGTTGTTCTATATATGATTAACTAAAATCTAAGCTGAAATAGTTTTATACTATGCTGTAATGCTCCACCTCCTTAACATTCCCTGTAAATCAGCAAACTATTAACATCCTACCTCCATTATCTAACAATATCCTGAAACTGATGTGCTGAAAATAAAAAAAAACTCTTCACTAATCTTATTTATCCAGTGTTGTCCATATCTAAACGTAGTTACCACAATCCATAGTTTCCTTAGTAATACGTAAATTCCTAACACAATTAAACATATATTTTCCCACATCACCCCCCACACCATGCCTGTATTTCCAGCATGCAGGACAAGCTCCCAGGCCTGTATTTCCAGCATGCAGGACAAGCTCCCATGCCTGCATTTCCAGCATGCAGGACAGCCTCCTGGGTGCTAGGCCACCTGCCTGCCATAGCTGGATGTTTCTGAAGCAAAGAGGGCAAGGCTGATTAACTCTTGCAGTGCAGAGTCTTTAGGGGTGTGGTCCATACCACCAAACTCAGCAGTAAGCAGTTCAAGCACTGTCTGGAGACACAGGGATTGAGGTTTATTTAACTCCCTTAGGCTGAGGAGGGTAGCAAAGCTCCATCTCCCACTTCTCAACAATGACTCTTAATGAGTCAAAGAGGCAAGCACTCATCCAGTTTCCTCATGTCTTTTGAAAAGAAAGCAGCTGTTTCACATATTTTTCCATGAGCTAATTCGCAATCAAGACCAATGCATACCACTAGATGAAGAACTTGAGAAGTTTTGGGTATTTCTACAAATTGAATGTGGCACAACCAAGAAGCTAGAAACACATTTTTCTTAAGAAAGTCCTTCTGGGCACATATAGTACCAAGGGGCAGGGTCCTGGGAAACTTGAAACTTCCAAGCAAGAAACAGAAAATGTCATAAATTTTTATTGAGTTGATAGATAAATTTTAGACAGAGAAATAAACATCTGTGGGTTGAAGCAGCTAAATTGCATATGATACTTTTTGGCTTCTGCCTTAATTTCCTCAATACATATTAGTTTGTCTGTATCAAAATGTCTTGGTTTTTAACTATTACCAACAGTTTTATACTACACAAACATTCATAACATGGATCCTGTTCAATATTT